CCCACCCAACCGGAGCTCATCATTGTGAGCTCCATCTCCTTTGAACGTGTGCACTGTGGTTGACCATGTTTGTAGCTGCAGCCTCTGAGCCGGAGTAGGTAAACGGCTCATCACAGACAGTCCCACCTTGAGTCACTTGAGAACATTAAAAGTAGGAAGTGGGAAAATCATTCCCAAGTGAGCTCTGTCACAGGGGCATCTGAGAGTCAGGAGGGCTGGGGTTCAGCGGCAGCTTCCCTCAGAACTTTCTCACCTGAGGCTAAGTGTGCAGGGAGTCTGTAGAGCCCTTCCTCTCCCTTTCCCTTTGGCTTCACTGATGAAAGTTCATCTCACTGATGACTAAGCCCCTTCATTTAAAGAGATGCATTATAAGGCATAGTGGGGATGCAGTGAAAACATTCAGACAAAATACAGTGAGACAAAAGGATGCCTGGCTTGCATATGTGAATGAATGCGCAAGGAGGTCCCCAGGCTCTGAGTCATTAGCCTCTAAAGGTAGCCACCAGCTTCATGCCAAGTACCAAAAACATATTCTGTGAACTCCACTTGAATGAATCCTGTGGTACATACTCTCTCTCTTTTCTGTTTTAAAATGTGTATGGGCAGTTTGCCTGCGTGTGTGTATACCATGTGCATGCAGTGTTCCCAGCGGCCAGAAGAGGGCATCAGAGACCCTAGGACTGGAGTTACAGACAAATATGAGACATGGGTGCCGGGAATCAAGCCCAGATCCTTTATAAGAGCAGCTAGTGCTCTTAATCACTGCTATTTAACCAGCCAATTAATGATATACACTCTTGGTCTACATGTTTCTGAAAGTCTTCCAGCCTCAGAAGGTAATAATTTTGTAATGGTTTGTTTTTAGATAGTTCACATTTTGACAAGACTAAGACATTCCCACCCACTCACTTCTTGATAGCTATGTAGGTTACTTTCAGTTTTGAATTAAAACTATTCAGAAAATTATGGAAAACACACACTCTCTCTCTCTCTCTCACACACACACACATACACTGCAGTTTATCATACTATTAGATTTGTTTTGTTTTTGATACAGGGTCACACACACACTGCAGTTTATCATACTATTAGCTTTGTTTTGTTTTTGATACAGGGTCTTTGGTAGTTCAGACTTGCTTCCAACTTGCTACATAACCAAGGATGACCTTGAATTTCTAATCCTTCTATTTCCAACTCTCAAGCACTCAGTTTGCATGTGCACACCACAAAGTCTGGGTTCTACAGGCTGAGGGTGGAACCCAGGACTGTGAGTGCGAGGCAAGTCCTCTATCAACCAAGCTACATCTTCTGACCAATTAATTGGTTTAGAATTTCAAGATGTGTACACTTCCAGGAAGTCAAAGAACAGGCTCTATTTGGGTTAGATAGCATGAATTTCCTTGTAGGTTTATTCTCTGGATACCTTTGCCTGTGGGAAATCTCTTTTAAAATGGCCATTTTCTCCATTGCAAGACTACCTTTTGTAGTGAAATTCTGAAGCAAAATCTAAGAAACCAATTTATACCTAATTGATTCCTAAAATGAGTCCACTTTCTTTTTCTGCGGAAGCAGAACATAAGGGCTCATTATAAACCCTTAATATATACATCTGTTCTGTCCATGCAAAGACAATGATGCAAAGAGCATCTGCGGGCAGCAAGAAGGCCAGAACTCCTTCCCTGCAGAAAGCCCCTAATACAAGGCTTGCTCTAAGAATCTGAGCATGATGGTGCAGCAATCTGACCCACATGGAATAAACTCATCCCTAGTCAAATGTCCAGTGAGACATATTCTTACCAGTATCCCAGTATTACCATTTGTGATGGTAAACTTTGTGATGCAATAGATAAATGGGTTCATACATTTAAATAAAAAGGAGGCGTGTCCGTGTCTTGCTCATTACTGAGACAGAATTCATGACACAAGAGGAAGGATTTGTTTGAACATGGTCTAGAAGAACAGTCCATCATGTTGGGGAAGGTTGGGTGGCAGGCTGCTCCCAAGTATTAGGAGTTACATGGCAGTAGATGTGCTGGTCCAGGCCTTCTCAAACCTCTGTAGGGGATGGGGAGTGAAATACAGCTAGAAATCTCAAATACTAATCTCATATCCATACCCCTGCAACATATTTCCTCTAAATAAGCCCCACCTGTCAACTTCACCAAACATCACCATCAGCTGAGGCCCAAATGAGCCTGTGGGGAGGCATTTGATACCTAAACAATAGACTTAGCAACACCTGAAGATACTGGTCAGCTGAACTCAGTGTACCCTTGGTTCAACTAGAATGTCATCCTCACATCAGTGAGACTTCTAACCTGCCAGGTACAACATTTCATCTTTTCCTCCTCTAGGTATCATTGTGGTGACTGTCACTGACACTGTCCTTATACTCAGCTCACAGTGCCACTTGTGACTGAACACTGACCTGCCTGCCTGCTTTTCATTCTGATTTTCTTCATGAACCCCCCAAACCTTAAGTTTCCATTTTCCCTGGTGCCATTCCCATATTGCCTGGCAGATTTACAGTGACATAATTAAGACATAGAAAGTAGATTTTAATTGTATGGATTTACAATAAGATTGACAGAAAGTTTCCTGGACACTTGACAGAATCCTAAGGGCCAGAGTTATGAAGCAGGAATTGTGGCTGTCTGCTGTTCCACAGCCCCAAGTCCTACACACCCCCTTCTGGTCTCTGTCTGGGCAGCAGGGTCTATCCAGGTTTGCAGGCCTAGTTAGGGTCAATATTGCTGTGATGAAACACCATGACCAAAGGCAATGGGAGGAAAGGTTTTATTTCACCTCATAGTTCCATATCACAAGCTGTGAGGGCAGGAACCTAAGCGGGGCAGGAAGGACCTGACGCAGAGGCCACGAACAGCTGTTTGCTGAACTGCACCTTATGGTTTGTTCATCCTGCTTTCTTACAGAAATCAGAACCAGGAGCTGGGGGGGGGGGCGTATCACTCAAAATGGGCTGGGTAGTCCTGCATCAATTGCTAATTAAGAAAACGACTTACAGTTGATCTTACAGAGCCAGTTTTTCAACTGAGATTCCTTCCTTTCAGATAACTCCAGCTTGTGTCAAGTTGACATAAAATCAGCCAGATCCCAGCAGCCTCCTGGGCCAGAGAGGTAAAGGGGCTGTCAATCAAAATTAGGAGGCTCCCCAGGTTTGGCATATCCTCACTAACCACCAGGCCCAGCTAGATATCAGGGAGGACTCTGAGCCTGTATCTGGGTGCCCACAAACAAGATACTCCAGTGAAGCTGGAATATCTAGCCGGGCCTGGTGGTACATTCTAGAGAAACCTCTTATCCAGGATCATGGGTCTGCATCCCAAGGGCGACTGAGAGAGACACTGGAAGGCATTTTAGAATATTTTCCTTCTGGAACATGTGACGCATAACCCTACATAGATAATACAGCATTTCACAGAAAGCCATTTGAAGAGCTGAGACTATGTATAAAGCAGGGAGCTAGGCTCTCTCAGGACACTGCATGAAGACAGATCAACGGAGAGCCCTGGAGTACTAAGATGGGATACAGGGATAAGGGGATATATAGTAACAAGCAAGAGTCTATCTCCTATCTGGCAAGGTGTGTGTATGGGGTGGGGGTGTAAGAGCATTTCCCGTCTGAACTCCTAATTCACTGGCCAACGTTTACTACCATGCTCTGCCCTTCTCTTGTAAACAGTGGGGCTACTCTTCGAGACCCGTATCCGGAGTTAGTTTCAGGGCCTGCCACTCAGCCCTGCTAGGCATCAGGGAGCCTGCAGCTGAGAGGAAGACCAGGTAACTCTGGTGGAGTTGGGGGTAAGTGATGGGGGGTGCTCTTTTTTCCTGAGAATCTCTTCTGGAAGTATAGTTAACTTTGATCAAAACAAACACAACTCCCACCTCCTCCAACTGCTTCTGCAGAGGGAGGGAGACAGGGGGACTAGGAGGTCCAAATAAGGGACAGTAGAAATGTCTCCAAATTGTCAGCATGCAAGAGACCTGACAGACAGGCAGGCAGGCACTCTTTACTTTGTCCCCTAGGCCACTAAGCAGGTTTGCCTTCCAGTTCTTCTTTGAAGGGTAGACTCCTGGTTCGACACAGACATAGAAATCCAGAAGGGCGAGCCTAACCCCCAACCTCTCCAAAGATGGATCTGCAGGTGAGGGGGCAGGCGCCTTGTCCCAATGGCTACTCCCACCTATGGCGTTAACCACCCAGTAGGGGTAAGTGGGTTGACACCTCAGGAAGACATCAAGCGGGGTCTCCTGAAGACAGCCTGCTCCTGAGGGAGAAAGCAAGGGCCCCTTGCCAGCCTTTGGCTCCTGAGGCAGCTCCTGGGTAGACTCAACAAGTTCCAGGGGGCCGCGCAGCGCCGCCTGCAGCCCAGAAACCCCAGGATGTGGTAGTGGAGCTCCGCGCACATGCAGCAACTAGAGGCTGCTTCCAGCACCTCCTCCTTCTCCTCCTCCTCCTTCTGCCGGCGATCCGGCTCTGGCTGGAGGGGCTCCTCCACGCGCCGGGCTCCCGCCCCACGCACGCGGCCCGGCCCGCCCCCGCCCCACCCCCGCCCCACGGGCCCCGGGGCTCCGCCCGCCTCGGTGGCAGGCGAGCGCACAGGCGGCTGGCGCGCAGCTCTGGGCGCCCTCTCTTCAGTCCTCTGGCCGCCCGGCTCCACAGAGTGGCCGGGACTCGGATCCGTGGCCAGGACTCCCTTTACGCTCCCTCCCCCTTTCCGCCCCCTCCTCCAGGCCCGACTCCCGGATCTCGCCGAAGACAATTGCAGTAAATGAGGACATCTGAGGAGCACGGAGCCGGGTGGCTGTGGCTGGCTCCGCCGCGCCGCGATCGGGCGAGCGCGCGGGCGTCCCCGGAGCCGGCCAAGCCACTGCTTCCTCGCGCGCGTCGCTGAGCAGGAGCCGGAGGGACTCGAGCTGCGGAGCGGGGGCCGGCCGGGCCGGGCGGGCCGGGCCCTTGGCAGTGGAGGGGGGCGGGCGGCGGGCACGCAGCTGGCCAAGTCCCCGGAGCCGAGCCTCCTACGGCGCGAGCCCGACGATCCTTGCCGTGGATGCTCTGCCCCAAGTGCTCCGTGCCGCGCCAGGTTTGCCAGGGTCCGCGGCAAGACATGCCCGAGCCAGGCGCTGCACCGACCTCCACTTATCAGTAAGCAGCCAAAGGTAAGCGGAGCCCAACATGCCCTCCTCCCGCGCCTCGGAGCCCACTGTACTTGACCACGGGCAGATGGGCACAGACCCTGACTCGTGCGCACGCACTCGCTCCTAAACCGGCTTCGCCTGGGTCTGGGACGGGCGGTTACAGCCCAGTGCAGACCGGTGGCAGGCAGGGGCGGGGGTTGGGGGGCGAGGTTATGCAACTGCGTCTGGCAGGACCCGGTCGCCCAGGGGCATCTGGCAACTTTGGCGACAGCCTGGTAGGAGCGGGAATGTGATGTCTGTTCTAGACAAACGCCACAACCTTTTGAGCACAGGGCATCCTTGGCCAGGCAGAACTGGGCAGGACGGCGGGTGAGGGGCTCTGGGGATGATCATCTTTCTGGAACATTCGAGGTTTTGAAAGTATTATCCAAACTAAAGCGAACTGCCAAGTACATACAGTATAGCTGATTAACTTCAGGGAGATAGGGGGGATAAGTCTGAACAGAGGGGCCCTGCCGCCTGCCGTTGAGCAGACAGAAGCAGGAGCGAAGACAGAAATGCCCACGTGAAATGTTGGTCTTCTCTCTTGGTTTCTGGTATTGGTACCTTCTCTGGGCTGCAGGCTGGGGTCTGCACCCGCTGAGCTTCTGCGTGCCTGGCATCCCATGCCTGACCTGCACAAGCGTGGGAAACCAATCGATGCTGCAGAACCCAGGGAGCTAGTGAGGGCAGGAGAGAGGAGGGAACACTGGCCAGCCCCAAGCAGGGGCAGAGACTAGAGCCCAAAGTCAAGACCAAGACTCTGCATCTTGCTTGTTCATGCTCGGGGTTCCACGCTAGCATCTCCACTGCTTGAAAAAAGAGCCTCTTCCTGTGACCTCAACATTCTACTACCCTGAAAATATGCCACAAGGAGATGGAGCCAGTGATAAAGGGATGCCAGGAGTGGGGGAGGAGAGGCGCCCCTGGAGTAAATAAGGGAGAGAAAATGGGTGCTTTTTACTCTGCAGACCAGGGCTCAGGTCCCTTCCCCTCTCTTGGTGCTGGTCTGGGGCTGGGGGGCCTGGCTGCCCTCCCGGGCTTATGAACTAGAAGCAGTTACAGAAGCAGTTTAATTTGACCTTGTCTGCATGGGCTCTGAAATTCTGCCGAAGCATCCCGAGGTGAAACTGGCAAGAGTGGGAAGGAACTTTGGGCAAGCCCTGCCTTGGCTAAGAATCTACGAGATCATTTCAGAGCACCAAGGCAAGGGCTAGCACAAGGTTGAGGTCAACAGCCTGAAGGTTTTCTCTTGGAAAATGACTTGATAGGGGGTTACCTATTCACAACCTGACCAGGGCACAGTCAAGGTTACAGGGCTAGGGACTTGATTAAAAATGCCATTCAAATGATAAAAACTACTTCACCCCCCACCCATGAGTAGTTCATAAGTAAAAGGATAGTGCCTTATGAAGCTGATGGTAAAGCCTGAACAGAGACAGTAATCATTTCACTCCGCAGAGGCAGAACATGCTGGGGTTTACTATTCATGGTGTGCTATTTCTTACATTCACATCCTGTTGAATGTTACTTTTCAAAGTTCATATTTATCTCTGCAATTTTTTGCAAGCAAGATTAGCAAACGTGCACAAAACAGCTCAAAGAAAAAATTGCATACCTTACCAGATACTAATAATTTACTGTCTGTGTTTACTACTTATATGAGAGGGTAGTGCTCTTCAGGACAGGGTATATCAGATTGAATTTGGTAGGGGGGGAGCCTAGCATGGCTGTCAAATCACATGATTTGTCATAAATTATGTGAGCTATAGAGTTTTGTTTTCTTCATTAAATCCATCTTTTCTTTAAAAGGTAGAGTGATTCAATTTATTTATTTTTTGTCTGATGCAAAGGCTCTTCTTTAAAGACAGGATGTCCTTGAAAAGAAAGAATGTCTTAAAATGACAACAGTTGCCATGACTCTGTTTTATTGTCGTGATTAAGACACTGGGGTTTTGACATAAATCAGGTCCATTATCCCATTGAGAAACATAACCAGTGGTTAAGAAGCAGGCTAACAGGGCAAGCACTAGAAAGCTCCATATGAGTCTTCAGGAGGCTCTCTGAAAATCTGGCCATCCTAGTACCTCAGTTTATCCCAGAGCTCCTCTGCTGTGACTGTTATTTTGTCCTGTGAAAGAAAGGCAATTTTTTGGCTTTTGTTTTTCCCTTTGTATATGAAATTGTAAGAACTATATGATAGCCCCCCATCTCCAAGGAAGATCCCTGCACAGTAGAGTTCACAGCTAATAAAGAGGAGGTTGAGACATGCCAAGCTGTCCTAGTGAGGGGCCAGGTACACATTGCTAGATATTTGTATCCACTCATTTGCTCCATTGCGCGGCCATCTGAGAGAGACAGCCACTGAACACCCTTATAGAGGCAGATTACTTATGTTGGGGCCAGGCTGCTTCTCAGACAATAATGTTCAGAAATGATTGGAGGCATAGCACAGCGCAGCAGTTCTGAGGACAGACTTTGCCGTAGAAGGGCAGTAACCGGGTCACCAAAGTCTTTAATACTAACACTCTAGACAAACAAACCACACAACTAAGCAAATGCATACCAGAGATGCTGTTAACAGATCCTCCGGAGTACCACACTGGTTATACAGAATGGAAGTGGCTCATATCCTCCTGGGAATTAAAGGCCATAGGACTTCTAGACAAAAGGAGGACTATTTACCATAGAACCCTGGTAAATGTGACAGCTGAGTTCATCACCCTACCCATTGTAACTGCAGAGACCTGCATTCTCCAACCCAAAATTAGCCGACATAATTTATGATGTGCAACCTCCTTCATGTTGGATTTTAATATTTCATAACATTATGGAGTGGCTTCAATATTTTAAGGCAAAATTTAATATGATTGATAGGACATGACAACACACCTGTCTCCAAGATGTTCAGAGAAGCCTTTATCTAAACTTAAATTAATCTATCTTTATGTAAATATAGTAAAACATCATGACCTTTAATCAGTTCACTTAAAAAAATGCTTGTCCTATGCCTTGAGGACAGAATACAGATTTGTACAAGTTACAGTGGCCCTGGAAAATCCACATAAACAAGTTGTTTGGATGACATTGCATACTAAGCAGTATGGCATACAAGGTTTAGGTTTGAACCTCTCAACCATGTCTGAGGATGTAACTGTTTCATTCCCTGAAGGCACAGAAGGCATGGAGGTGTCTCCAGGCAACCAACATCCTGGCCTCAGATTAAGAAACAACAGAACTTCAGAGACATCTTCTGGTCACTCAGTCACCTGGGTCCTAAGTCATCAGGATATTCTGCTTGAATTGGAGATTCAAGCTGTGCGTGAGAGAAACATGAACTTGAATATGGAGAAAGTAGAAATAGGAGACAAGAAAGAGTTGTGTTTCTCAATTACTCTGTAAACTTTTTGGATAGTGTGCCACTTCACAGGGATTTGGGAAGAATTATCTCCGAAGTAATCATTTGGATACTGCTCTTGTAGAGTATGGAGTTGATGAATTAAAGCACTACATATGCATAGGCATGGCCAGTGGCCACATCATTCCTGGGATTGGGAAGTCTAAGAAAGAAAAGGCTAGAGAGAGGCTCATCTGTGCAGAATGTATAATCACAGAAATTCCGCTATGTTAACAAATGAAGTGAAGGAACAACAAACTAGTAATCCTAGCAGCATGTCAAAATGTTCCGCAAAGTTTGTATTGGAGTTATTGTGGAAAATCCCAGCTCTGTCTTTGATAATCTAGCCTGGGGCATGAAATGAAAACAGAACTACAGACTAAGAGAGGTGAGAGAGAAAGCTGCTGTGGGCTGCGGAAAACATAGCAAGCAGCTTTGCAAATGAAAGTTGACTTCTCTGCACTTCAGTGATCCAGAGACAACAGGGCAGCCTGATGCTGTGACCCTTCTGTCAGCAGCTGCGAAGATGGAGGAAACTCTCTGGGCAACAACAGACCCATTGCTCACTTTGTGCTTCTAGTACATTCCATCAAGTGACACAGGTCCCCACACACTGTTCTTGGAAGTATCCTATACTGGTCAACAGTCCCATTGTAAATCTCTTCCACATGTTCAATGGTTAGATTCTAGACAGGCCACAGCTTCTGCAGCTTGCTTCATGAGATCTGCTTCTTTTTCTAGTGCTTTTAGCAATCTTGGAACCTTACTGCCACTATAAAGACCAGGCTCTTAGAAAGGGGGTGGATATGGCCAAGGCAGACAAATAAGCAGGTGGCAGTCGCGACCTAGGCAATGTGGAAGGCATTTCAAGACTCGATGGAAGGTCTTCAGGGAATTTGGGTCCAGCAGGAAGAGGTGACTAGAATGTGGCAAACAAGCAAATACATCTAAACTCACAAGAGAGAATCAGGATGGACGATTCCGGCATGAGTGACTCCTTGGCTGACTTTAAGTATCATGTCGAGAGAGGATCCTGGGCCCAGCACATAGATACCCAGGATTTAAGCCAAGTGGATATTACAACGAGAGGAAGAGACTCCCGAGGGAAGAATGAAGAGTGCCGTTTGACAAAGGTTTGAGTTTTAGCATCACAGGGTGGTCAGACAGTCTGAAGCCACTTTGAGAAGAAACCAGAAAGGCACTGTGAGCCTCACAGGATACTTTCAAGAAGACTGTGTATTCTGAGAAGACTAAGTGTTGATATCCAGACACAAGCCAGAGAAAAGGAGCCAGAGGCCAGCGGAGAAGGTGCCACGGGAGAGAACTGACCAGTGCCAGAGGTGGCTGGTAGCACTGTGGTTGGATAGAGAGGGGACTGGGGACTGGCTATGACAGAAATCTTCAACAGTGGAATCCTATAATGTGGCAACTGGTAGAGGATAGACTGAAGCTCTACCTAGGGGGTGAGCAATTCTAATGAAAATCTAAGGCTGGGAGCCAGCAGGGAGAAGGTATGGTGATGACCTGGTTTTCAACTGGGAATATTTCTTGAAAAGCGGAGGGAATTTTTTTTTGTTTGCAATCT